GAGATTCAACAGCAAATCTGCAAACTAGGGTCCCTGGGTCCTTTATCTTGTGACAGAGTGTGGCTCTGGCAGAAAGACATACAGATCCAAGGCCACAATTTTATTATATTTTTATTACTTTATTAGAGATAAGACCTCTGTTACCCAGGCTGGAGTACATTGGCACCATCCCAGCTCACTGCAGCCTCCAACTAACTTCCTGCCTTAGCCTCCCAAGTATCTTAGGCTCAAGCTATCTTCCTACCTTAGCTTCCCAACTGTCTGGGACTACAGGCATGCACCATCATGTCTGGCTGGTTTTTTAAAAAGTTTTTTAGAGAAAAGATCCCACTATGCTGCCTAGGCTGGTCTTGAACTTCTAACCTCAGGTGATCCTGCCTTGTCTTCCCAAAGTCCTGGGATTACAGGTGTGAGCCATTGTGCCTGGCAGAGGCCATGATTTTAATTCATAGGGTTTCTCAGTAACAACTGTGTTTATTCACTCACAAATATTTACTGAATATCTGTGTTGGGTGATAGGAATATAGTAGTCTTGCTGTCTTGAGACTTAAAGTGAGGGAGATTGACCTTAATCAAAGAATCTCACAAATCAATGTCTCATTACAAACTGTAATGATATGAAAATGTGGGCTGGGCGTGGTGACACATGCCTGTAATCCCAGCACTTTGAGAGGCCCAGGCAGGTGGATCACCTGAGGTCATGAGTTCAAGACCAGCCTGGCTACCATGGTGAAACCTGTCTCTGCTAAAAATACAAAAATTAGATGGGCATTGGTGAGGGGGGCACCTATAATCCCAGCTACTCAGGAGGCTGTGGTGGGAGAATCGCTTGAACCTAGGGGGCGGAGGTTGCAGTGAGCTGAGATCATGCCACTGCACTCCAGCCTGGGCAACAGAGCAAGACTCCATCTCAAAAAAAAAAGAAAAAAGAAAGAGAAAATGGGTAACAGCAGACTTGACCTTCACACCCATCACAATTACAAATAGTGACTTTTAAAATCGTCTGTTGTCTCTCTTCCCCGCTAGACTATAAGCTCCAAGAGGGTGGGGACACTATCTAGTCTTGTTCTCTGCTTCATCCCCATCCCTAGCAAAATGCTCAGCATGGAGTAGATAGATATTCATTTGTAGTTGCTTCATAAATGAGCAGTTATGAAATGGGTTGCCTTCTGGATGAGGGAAAAAAAATCTCATAGCAACTGTGCTCCCAGGTGGAAGGTGCATATATTCTGCTTGTGTGAGCGATACAAAGATGGACGAAATGCCCTCAGCAGAAGATTCTCAAGGATTTTCAACGTCAGCAACAATTTCTGGTGAGGAAAGCTGATTGAGGAGATTGATTGGGAAACTTGCAAATACAGCTAGAAGGTGTGTAGACTAGCAAGAACCTCTGGGGGCTGGGTCTGTCTGATTTGTCCAGGCAGGCACTTTGGGCTGTGGTGAGCCAGGCCAAGTGCAGGCTCCAAATCCCAGCTCTGTACTTCCTGGTTGCATGTGACCTTGGACCAGCGGCTTAGCCTGAGTCTCGGGTTCCTCATGGTGAAATGAGCATGGGAACAACCAGGCTTATCTCTAAATGTTGTCTGGAAGGTTAGGAGAGATAGCATATGAAAAGCCTTAGCACAATGCCCAGCAGGCTCAGGACAGGTTCTTTGGGAAACTCTCAGACCAGTTGGCATGCGGGGCAGGTATGCAGAGTGCCTGCGGTGGGGAGGCATGAAGGAAGCGGGAGAGAGAACTTAGACTGCAATGCAGTCTCCGCAGAGCCCTCAGGTGACCCCACAGGGAGCTTTGAAGCTGGGATGGCTAACTAGGAGTTGTTCTACATTGAGGCAAGGGGCTTTGTACACTCAATTGACAAGGTCATCAGATACAGCCTCCCCTAGGAAGAGGTTTAACCTTGATGAGGCAGCCTCCTTCAACCAAGGACAATTCTCAGAGAGAAAGTCCACTGACAAGCTTCAGGGGCTGTACCTCCAGCATCTGGAAGGAGACATCTGGAAGGACGAATACCTCAGTCCCTGACTTAAACATTGATCGATGAGTGGTACCCTTACCTTGGATCCCTTTGCTGTCTTTATCATTTCCTCACTGTGACTTCTGGGCCCCTGTCCCTACCCCATCAGAGATTCTAAACTCAGTTGACGGCCAGGTGCAGTGGCTCATGCCTGTAATCCCAGCACTTTGGGAGGCTGAAGTAGGCAGATGACTTGAGGTCAGGTGTTTGAGACCAGCCTGGCCAACATGGTGAAACCCCATCTCTACTAAATACAAAAATTAACTGGGCATGGTGGTGGGTGCTTGTAATCCCAGATACTCAGGAGGCTGAGGCGGGAGAATCACTTGAACCTGAGAGGAGTTTGCACACCACTGCACCCCAGCCTGGGGTATAGAGTAAGATACTGTCTCAAAAAAAAAAAACTCAGTTGACAGGATACGTGCTACCTCTCTGAGACAGGTACAATGACCCACACCCAACCCATCATGCCTTCAATTCTTATGGATCTTGGGTATTTCTGATCTCTATAGCTATTCCAAATTCTATCTCTATCAGAATACCATTTCAGTTCTGGAAGTTTTATCATACATTTTCCTACTTGTTGGGGGAAACGCTGTTTAAAAAATTCCTAGGTTTCTTGGCTTTGTGTTCAATTTTTTTTTTTTTTTTTTTGATGGAGTATTGCTCAGTTGCCCAGGCTGGAGTGCAATGGTGCATTCTCAGCTCACTGCAACCTCCGCCTCTCAGATTCAGGAGATTCTCCAGCCTCAGCCTCCTGAGTAGCTGGGATTACAGGCGTGTGCCACCAGGCCCAGCTAATTTTTAAATATTTTTAGTAGAGACGGGGTTTCACCATGTTGGCCAGGCTGGTGTCAAACTCCTGACCTCAGGTGATCCGCCCGCCTCAGCCTCGGAAAGTGCTGGGATTACAGGCGTGAGCCACCGCATCCAGCTGTGTTTAGTTTCTTAAATGAACTGTGCAATTATATTTTCAAGTCGCCAAAATGAAATCTCACTGACTGGAACCAATGTGAGTGCTACCTAGGATAAGCCTTCTTCACATGCACAGGATGTCCCATTCAGGGGCATGGCATGTCTTTCTATTCACTTCAATTCTAACATTCTTCTAATTTTAGCTAGTTTTTATTTCTATACATTTTATGGTTTCTGTTGGAATCTATTTCCTGTTTATTGCTGATATGCAAGAAAAAGACTTGTCTGGCCAGGCATAGTGGTGCACATCTGTAATCTCAGCACTTTGGGAGGCCAAGGTGGGAGGATCGCCTGAGCCCAGTTCAAGACCATCCTGGGCAATCCAGTGAGACCTCGTCTCTGCATAAAAATTTAAAAGAAAGTAGCTGGGCATGGTGATGTGCACCTGTATTCCTAGCTACTCAGGAGGCTGGTACAGGAGAATCACTTGAGCCCGGGAGTTCGAGGCTGCAGTGAACTATATTCATGCCACTACACTCCAGCCTGGCCCTGTGCCCCCGCAAAGAAAACTATTAATTCTTCTTTGATAGTTGGCTTCCTTGTAAAATCATTCTAAGAGTTTTTCATGGGTTTCCAGAAAAAAGAGCATTTGTGAGGTTTCCCATTTCCAAGAGTTCTTGCTTAATTTTCTTACATAATTCTGCTTTTTAAAAAGAGACAGTGTCTTTTGTCCAGGCTGGAGGGCAATGGTGTGATCATAGCTCACTGCAGTCTTGCGCTCCTGGGCTCAAGTGATCCTCCCGCCTTAGACTTTCAAGTAGCTAGGATTACAGGTGTGTGCTACCATGGTCAGCTATGTTTTTTAAATTTTTTGTAGAGAACGGAGGTCTTGCTTTGTTGCCCAGGCTGGCTCGAACCCCCGGCCTCAAGTGATCCTCCTGCCTTGGACTCCCAAAGTGCTGGTATTTCAGGTGTAAGCCACTGCACCCAGCCCATAACTGTGCTTTCTGGACAATGCTGAGGAATGGGTATGGAGGTCACCCTGTGTTGTGCACCAATGTAATGGGTATACCTCTCTAAACGAATTAGTCCTTTACATTTGCTTTCTAAATTAACAAAAGCATCTAACAGGAAACCTGTACCTACTAAAAAAAATTTTGCAATGTTCACAAACAAGAAATTGTTCTTAGGAATGACTGGCCACCAATGTAGGCCCTATGGCCAGAGCTCATGATGCCATAAGCTGCTTCTAATACCCCTTCCAGAGGCCTGCATATGGAAATAGTGTCTGCTTCTGTGCCCTGACCAGAGGCTTTGTCAGCACAACTAGAGAAGGTAGCAATGACTGGGCCCTCAGCTTCAGAGATGGCAGCCCAGAAGTTACCACAAGGGTCTCTAATTCCAGTCCTGTCCACCTGATTTCTGGTCTGGCCTGGTACCGTCTCCCAGGCAGTGGACAAGCCTGTGAGTCAGATACAAAAAACTGGCCTGGGTTTCAGCTTACCTCAACATAAGCATCAACATTCCCATTATAATTTTATTTAAATGCCAAATTGCTATGTGCAATGTTCTCATAGATTATGGTAAGGCTAACTGTTTCTTAGCTAGAAAGCCCTTGCAACAGTGGTATCAAAGTACAGGAACTTGGCTGGGTGTAGAGGCTCATGCCTATAATTCCAGAACTTTGGGAGGCTGAGGCAGGAGGAACAATCACTTGAGACTAGGAGACCAGCTTCAGCAACATGGTGAGACCTTGTCTCTACCAAAAAAAAAAAAAAAAAAAAAAAAAAAAAAAACTTTTTTCTAAAAAAAAAAAAAAAAAAAAAAAAAAGAACAGCAACTTTTTGCTATACTCAGAAGTCCATCGTGTTCTAGGGATAGTCCATCACTTAATAAGCTTTATGCAGTTGAGTCCACTTGGCACTGGCAACAAAGGAATTCTGAATGAGTATGACAGGGAAAGGTTATCCATACAGGAATTTCTGGTTTTCTTCCACATGGGTTTTTAAAAGCCTGATTTGGTTTCAGCACAATGAGCTTACAGAAAAAATAAAATGCTAGCAAGTCATCAGACTCTTCAATGAAAATGTATTTCACATTAAACACAATGTATATATCATGCAAATGAGGCATCACCACAGTCACAATGGTGTTGTGAGGTACAACAAATCACAAGAAAACAGACATTTAGCAAAATAAGGTTTTAGGAAAAATGAGAGGCATTTTTTGAAAGCCAGACCATGCTATGGTTTCTGTGTGCTTGTCAGAAAGGGACTTCGCCAGTATTCGCCAAGATGGACAACACCGCATTATGTGGAGGCATGTATTTTATTGAGTATAGACATATACGCAGACGCAGTTTCCTTAACTAATACATTCTTAAATGTAGCTGGCTATACAAGCACATGAACAAGATTACTGCTGAGACTTCTTTATATCTCCTGGTTGCAAACCTCTCTCAGAATTATGAATCTTTCTAAACGCTTAATTATACAAGTCAAAACAAAAAGTTTCAGAGAAGAAGAGGTCATTTTAATCTGAAAGCCACATTTCACCGCAAGAAACAAAATTAAGAAAACATGCCACTATATGGCATAAAATGTGACGAGTATACATTTTAGTGTCATTTTTACCATTCAGGTGTTTTCTTAATGTTGAAAGTGACATACGGAGTTCAGTGTGGGCCCCCTATTGTTTCAGAACGAACGCTATGATTTTCCTTTGTGCCTGGTTTTATTAAAGCTGGGCAAACACAGGAGCAAATAAACAAAGAAAACTGCCAAGATCCAATAGAAAAACAAATTGCAAGAACATGAAAACCAACCACCTGCACACAAGACATAGGAGTCATTAGGAAAGCCACTCAATGGTCTGGAGTGACTACTGTGTGAAGATTTTAAGGTGTGACATGAAAGAGTCCTTGCTAGATTCAGTTGCCATGTATACACGAATATGCATAAGAGAACAGAAATCATTACTGACTGTTTTGACTTTCTTCCTCAGCCAAACTTACTACTTTAACCCCAAAAGAATAATGTGAGGCAATGCATTTATGCAGGTAGCAAAGCTTAACAATAATTTTTTAAAGGCTTCTTGATACTGCCTTCTAATAGAGAAACTCTGGAGACAGAGAACCTCCTGAATTTCTTCTCTGTCTCAAAAGACAGGGACATATATACAGCACAAGTTGAGTATATGTTTAACTAGAGTTTGGGTAAATGTCTAGAATAGTTCACAGGAAAAGACATCTAAATGTTTATGTGCTCCGACTTTGGGAAGAAGAATGGTTATAAAGCGAATTGCTGAGCCAGTCACTCAGGTTATTCAGAGGGTCACTATGATAATAGAGAGGTACAGGAAGTGCTTTATCAGCAGCTGAAGCTCAAAAACAGAACTGTAAAAGGAAACTTTGCTAAAGCCCAACAAGGTGAAAGTCTCAAGGTTTCTAACAAGAATGGCCAGTGTTAGACATACTACTTAGGAATACAGTTACATTCCGAGCTAATAATTTGGGATCCAGCGGTAAGGGTGTCAGAAGCTTCTTGAGATGGCCGGCAGCTCGGATTTGACTACCAGCAGCTTTACAGGTTCTCCAACACCTGTGTCAATTCAGAAACAAAACCAGATGAGATCAAAGGGAAAACCAAGCATTCTGCAGTCCTCTCACTAAAATGATCACAACACACTGTGGTATTTTCTACCTTCTTGGTAATTATATTTTCCTCCTTGGCTTATACAGTATTTCTCAACAGAAGTGATACAGTATTTTGCATAGGATTATTCTCTTAGGTGGGTCAAATTTTCCTTGTGTGGAACTTTCCTAAAACCTGCAGATGTGCTGGACGTGGTGGCTCATGCCTGTAATCCCAGCACTTTGGGAGGCTGAGGTGGGTGGATCACCTGAGGTCAGGAGTTCGAGACCAGCCTGACCAATATGGTGAAACCCCATCTTTAAAA